TCGTTGAGCATAATGTTGTCCACTTTGATGTCTCGGTGACACATATGCAGCTTCTCGTGCAGATACTGGAGGGCACCGCACGTCTGGCTGAACCACCAGCCGGTCTTCTCCTCTGGAATCGCTCCGTGTTTCTGGATATAGCCCGCGATGTCTCCGCCGCCGCAGAACTCCATAAAGATATACATTTTATGGTTGGCGCGAATGATGTCGTATATAACGCAAGCGTTTTCGTGTTTGACGCCAATAAGTGCGGCCAACTCTCGCGGAAGGAACTTCTCTTTGAACTTCTCGCCGACTTTGTCTAAATCCATGACTTTCACGGCCACCAACTCATCGGTTTTAGTGTTGACGGCTTTGTACACCTGTCCAAAAGCACCCTGTGCCAACTTCTTCTCCAATCGGTAGCCCTTCTTCTTGAACACCGCTTCTGTCTTCGGATCCAACTCTACTTTCGTGTCCTTTTCTTTACCCATCTTTTGGCCAAAACTATGATCTGTTGTTCGCTTTCAATAGTTTACTGCAAATGTTAACCGCTTTCTAACTTTGAATTTGAAATCATAATCAATTCTTGCACTCAAATGCAAATGCATTGTTGAGAATGCAAATCAATCGTCAGTTTGTAATGTTTCACGACATCAACAATTGAAACACTTTTGCAGCGCTTTCTTATGAAAAGTTGACTAAAACTTATAAAATTAGTTCAAAATTACAGTCAAAACATTAGAAATGATTGAAATGACTGAAAATGAAGTTTGAATTGAATTGAAAATAACAGACACTAAACACTAAACACTAATTATGTTTGTGTGACAATTGTGTGACTCTATTGTTGCCAAATCTCGAGATCTCTTACAGCTTTTAAACTTTAAATCAATCAAATCTCTGATTCAGTTGTAATTTAGGTTTAAAGATTACCTCATAATTGAATGTATTGTTAAAAATAGACATAATGTCTGACATATTCTGTAATTATCATAAACTTTAGATCGGAATAAATCTATTACTGATATTTAGATATGAGTTTAACAAAAGACTTAATCAAACAGTTGGAAGATATGGCCAATCAGTTAAGAATCGATTCAATTGAATCGACAAATGCGGCCAAATCAGGACATCCAACCTCTTGCGCATCGATCGCCGAATTGATGTCAGTTTTGTTCTTCCATACAATGAAATACTCGGTTAAAGAGCCGAAGAGTGCGGCCAACGATCGGTTCATTCTAAGCAAAGGACACGCGGCGCCCATACTGTATGCCGTGTGGGCTCGCACTGGACTCTTCCCCGTCAGTGATCTCATGAATCTAAGAAAACTGAACTCCGATCTCGAGGGACATCCGACGCCTCGATTAAACTTCGTTGACGTCGCGACCGGTTCTTTAGGACAGGGGCTAAGCATTGGCGCCGGAATGGCATACGTCGGCAAATATGTGGACAAAAGTCCGTATCGAGTGTATTGTCTTATAGGAGATGGAGAGTCGGCCGAGGGATCCATTTGGGAGGCGCTGTCTTTCGCCAGTACTTATAAACTCGATAATTTAGTGGCCATTCTCGATGTGAACCGACTCGGACAGAGCGAACCCACGGCTTTTGGTCATCGCATGGAAATATATCTGAATCGACTGAAAGCTTTTGGTTTTGAATCCATTGTAATCGATGGCCATAACGTTCAGACAATTGTCGAAACCTTTGACAAATGCGCCAAAATTAAAGATAAACCGCAAGCAATCATTGCCCAGACATTTAAAGGCAGAGGTTTTGTAGGAATTGAGGACAAGGATGGCTGGCACGGCAAGCCTTTGGGTGATAAAGCCGTCGACGTTATTAAAGCTCTCACTCAACGCATTTCAACCAAGAAATTTGACTTTAAAATCAATTCTCCTTCAAGTAGTTGTTCGTCCGTTGATCTCAAGTCTGTTAAGTTGTCTGAACCGCCGAACTATAAGTTGGGAGATCTGATGGCCACCCGTCAGGCGTACGGCCCGGCTCTGGTCAAGTTGGGAAAGACGTGTCCGCAAGTGATCGCAATGG